ACCCAAAAAGAACCAACAACAGTCCAACAGGACCCAAAAAGAACCAACAACAGTCCAACAGGACCCAAAAAGAACCAACTGCATTTGGACAGAATGTTTTCTTTCTTTCTGTTTTTGTTTTCCATGCCCTGGATGAGTGAAAATCTACACCAGCAAACTGTTGAGAAAACATTTATAAGACTAAAATTCATCAAGTTCCCACATGACAACAACTAAAGATTAGAACAGACCCATATGTCTCTCCTCAGGTCTTGTGACCTGGTCTTACCTCTCATATTCCAGGTTGTCATGATCACAGCGAGCGTCCTTGTGCTTCTCCCAGTCCTTCCCATGACGGCACGTTGTCAGAGAGACGATGTCCTTTCCATTGTGAATGTGATGAAGAGCGTTCCTGGTGTCTGAGCCAATGCCTGTAAGGTAACGCTTCCCTTTGAACATCAGCAGGTACTTCCTCCGTGGCGGGGTGGTGTTCCTCAGCAGCCAGCCCCGCTGCCCACCCTTCTGTGGGTGGTCCTTTGAAAAGAGTGGAATGGAGACATCAAAGCCTGGCCTGAAATGTTCCGTGTTCAGGCTGGCTTTGGCTAAAATGGCCTGACCAATGTTGAAGCCCAGATCCTCTGTGTAGTTGGGCCAGGTACCAGAATACAGATTAAAGATGAGGTGGTTCCTCCCATCGTTCCACAGTGGATAGCTCCAAATGCGTTCATCGACATGGGGCACAAACTGTCCCGACAACTGGTCCCGGTCCAAAGTGTCGATGCCCAGTACAAACAGACATGCTTCTCGGGGGTCAGATGTGTAGTATCGAGACTCAGCGATAGACGTCAGGATCTTTCTGTAGCTCTCTGACACGCGGTCACTTTTCTCCAACGGGTAAATGTACACCCTGAAGCCATCCCTGCCTCTGCGCTGACACMGAGAGTAGTCGAAGCATGTCTCCATGCGGCAGCGGCTGTCTTTATAGATGGCTGGCCACGCCTGGTGCCGCTGCTCAGGGGACTCAGCCATGCCGGGGTCTGTCTGGAGTTCTTCCAGGTGGGCATAGTGTGGAAGGAAGGCCTGATCAGTCCAGTTGGGCCAGTGGTGCAGCACATCTGCCCGGTGACGTGTCAGCAGGCGCAGCAGCTGGATTTGAACTCCTCCACTGCTGTAGAATAAGATCAGCCAGCAGCATGCACACAAGCCCAACAGAACATACTTCTTACGTGCCTGCATGGAGGCCGTCAGTCTTCCTGCCTCTTCCTACTCTCTGGTCTTCTGCTCCTTCCCCTCTGCCCCTCAGCTCTGCAGCCTCACTGGGGCCAACTCAGACTCTAACAGAGAGCTGCTGACGACCAACCATGTGTTAACAAGAACATCGTTTCCTCTCAGTCCTCCTCATGTTGTAGAAAAAGCTGGTCTGAGATACTGAGCCTCTTCTCAGGCGGTTGAGTTGTTAGGCTGCCTCAGCAGAGGAATGAATGTTTCCTCTGCTGTCCATCCTCACTCAGGACTGCCTCATGCTGTCTGCAGGGCGTCTCCTGGGGAGAAAAGAGCAAACAAGAGTCCACATCAGCTCACAAACAGAGCACCTCTGTCTAAATTCTGCCATGACCAACATTTCTTAGAGAGCAGCAGATTGGATTGGACAGTCGGCACACATTCAGAACACACAGCAGCAGAGGGATTCAGGCTGTCAGAAAGTACAGTTCAGTAAAAACCAAGGAAACTTCAGAAAATCAGACCATTGATCATTCTTTGGGTGTTTCTAAGGTCAGACTCACAATCATCACAGCATTAATCAGCAGAATGAAACATTTGACAGCTTGACATTAGCTGACAGACACGTTGAATGTTTTATTGTGATTATGGTTTAGACAAACTATCTATAGCCGAAGAAGAATGTTTCTATTGAATTTAGAAACATGTTTTTTCAGCCTCACGTTTTTAGGAACAGCACTCTGATGAACTTTCTAATGTATTTCTGTGGAGAACACAAGCCTCAGTAAAAGCCAGCAGTGACACAAAGGCAGCTTTCAGGCTTCACCTCTACATTCCTCCTCAGCAGCTTTACCTTCCTGCTCTGCTGGCAGCTTCACCAGCCGAAGGCTGCTAATAAGAGCCAACAACACTCTGAGCTCTCACACTGAGACAGGAAGCAAGGATTCATGCTGAAACCTGGTAACTGACAAACATTCTTCATTTCTTTAGTCTACAACAGAACCTCCTCTGACCCACCAGAGAACATCCATCATCAGAGACAGAACAGGAAGCTCTGGTTGCTGCTCAGAAACATCCAGAACATGTCATCCTTAGATGTATGGTTCAAATAAAGAACCATAGTTTGACTCTTAAAAGGACCCTTTCAGAACACAGAGTGTAGAACAAGTGAAGACAGAGTGAGGAGATGTGGTCAGTTTATGGTCAGTCCCTGATCAGGTGAGTTTCCACGTGACTTCTCTGTTCTGCTGTTTGGTTTTGAACCAAACCAGTACCAGCACCTCCTCTGAGCTCCTTGGTTCAGTTCAGTTTGGTCCTTCAGTCTGTGCAGATTCAGGTCCAGTCAGATGGTTTCCTGCAGGATGAATGGTCAGAACCTGTCTGCTCCTAATGAGGCAGAGTTAGAGAGAGGTTCAGGAAACACTGAAAACAGAGAACGTATCAGAACATGTTATTGTAGTTACCCTGGTCTGTTTTGTGTTTTTACTCTGTGTCTGATGTCCTTATGTTGTCATGATTACGTTAAAGACTTAAAGCCTGTAAACTAAAATAAAACTCTATCTGATGACTACATCTCAAAACACAATGAAAACATTTTAGATCCACACCAGAAAGGGTTTAATCTTCTTCTGATCCTTGTCCAACTCTCCCAGTTTTAAACTAACTGACAAACAACAGATGATTCTTCCAACAACAACAACAAACCACAGTCTGCCTCCTGACAACAACCTGCTGGTTMCCATCGACAGCTTGATAACCTGTCACTGGGTCAGAGCAGATTATTATTCAGTTTAATGGTCTGTCATCAGGTGTCAGCTCACTACTGGAAGATGTTTTCACACTAGTGCTCTTCTTCATCAGCTCCATGTGTTCCTGAAGAACCACCATCCATCCTGGTGTTTCCTGCTGAGGAACCTGTCCTGGAGCTCCTCTCACACCAACAACAACAAGGTTTCATCTTCATGTTTGTCCCTCAGTTAGTTTTTCAGCTGCAGCTCAGACGGAAAATGAAGTCTTTTATTTAGAAATGATTTTTTTTGACTAAGAAGCTGCTTCCTGTGTGTTCAGATTCATGTCAGGCTCTGACACTGTTTGAAGGCAAGGCTGAGGTGAAGTCTTTTTTAATTATTCTTTTTCACAGATTAGGTGATAAATAAAATAAATATATTTACTCTGTAATATTTTAATGCAAAGAAAAAAAGAAAAAATGTAATAATTGTATGAAACACTGATTTCTGATCGGACTGCAAAAATTAACCATCTAAAAACAAGTTAAAATATGAGATTATAC